CCTGATCAATGTCACGGACATAATAATCTCTTTCCTATTACATGTAAGACAGACCTCATGCAATGACATCGGCTCTTTCATTGGCAGGTTTATTTCCTATCTTGTGATAATTGATATTTATATCTTGTCATTGTACTTTTGACATGCAACCAAAGGGTTCCCCAGAGTATTGGAGCCCTTTCTATAGCTACTTGAGGGGCACTTGCTCTTAGGGTTTGAGCCTCACAAGTCCACAAACTATGATTCCCTTTGTACTTCAACTATTTAACTAACGCTCCAGTATTTTGCAACAAGTGAGTTAACAGGAGAACCAGACTTTGGTGTCCAGTGGTGAAGTTACTATGTTTGCCCCAGGATTGTTTCAGCTGCATGATTTGGAAAGCAGCTGTGCCACGGTGATACACTTCATAACCATCGAGGACCCCGGTTAGTCCTCAGAAACTCACTGCCTGTACAGAGCTTTCCTGACAACAGCAAGTGCAGCAAATGGCCTTCCCTGCTCAAACTCACATTTGGAAATACACTTAGTGATATAATTTTAAACTCTTCCTGAAAGTTATAGAAGTGCTGGTTTCCTACAGCAGCAGAAGGAAGTTGACATCCCAGGGGGTTTCTGTTGTGTACACATGAACTGTATGCACTCAGATGTGTGTGTTCGTGTGTGTAATTTTTTAAAATGCTGTGCCTCAGTTCCGACCCATGTTTTTCTTCTCCTTTATCTATAATTTGAAAAAGAAATATAGGAAAGTATGTTTCCTGTGTTCACTGCCATTTAATGGACAAAACAAAATCTCCTTTCATGAAATCACTCAGCTACTCAAAGCAGTTTTGTCAGTAGAATGCGTAAATAATGTTCCCAAAATAAGTTTTCTGTCTCAGTCCTGTGTTCAGAATCTGTTTTACCTCATTTTCAGATCTAATTTTCCCAGAGTTTCTATTGCATTATACTCTTTCTGCCTTTGCTCCCAGTCTCCAAGAGAAATGCAAACCTAATTAAAGACACACAGCATTTTTAGCCTATATTAGTTAGCGACATTGTGATTGAAAATAGGTTTCCATGAAGCCATGGGAAGTCGTCTCCAGGCTTCTTTTTTAGGAGAGAGATGCCATAAACTTAATCCCATAAGTAGATGCAAGGAAAGTATTTCACAGGGAGTGCCATAAATACTATCACCTAGGGGGCTGATCTGCTGGAAAGTAACTCTGCAGGGAAGGATCTCAGGGGTTATGGTGGACTACAAGCTATTCATGACCCAAGCTGTTCTTGTCCTTGTGGACAAGGGTATCATGAGGTGCCTTGGGAAGAGCATTGCCAGTAGGCTGAGGGAGGTGGTCCTGCCCCTCTACTCAGTTCTAATGAGGAGCATCTGAAGCATTGTATCCTGTTCTGGGCTCCCCAACAAATGAGAGACATGGAGTTCCTGGTGGAGGTCCAGCAGACAGTGACGAAGATGATTATGGGACTGGATCATCTCTCTTATGAGGAAAGGCTGAGGGAGCTGGGCCTGATCAGCCTCAAGAAGAGACCACTGCAAGGGGATCGTATCCATGTCTGCAAGTGTCTGAAGGGAGGGTGTTGAAAGGATGGATCCAGGCTCTGCTTGGTGGCGCTGGGCAGCAGGACAAGACGCAACAGGCAGAAACTGATACACAGGAAGTTCCACCTGAACATGAGAAAGAACTTTAACGTGCAGGTGACCAAGCACTGGAACAGACTGTGCAGAGAGGCTGAGGAATCTCCCTCACTGGAAATATTCAAGAATATTTGGATACAATCCTGTGCAATGTGTCCTGCTTGAGCAGAGAGGTTGAACCAGATGACCTCACCTGTGATCCCTTCCCAACCCTACCCATTTTGTGATAAGTATGTCAATCTGGTGCATGGGAGTACATACATTAATATAAGTATTTATGTACATATATTTAATATATAATGTGCATATATTTAATATATGTACAATTCTTTTCTTACAGGTCATGTTTTGTGTGATTAAATCATGCATGGCATTTAAAAGTTTGCTCAGCAAGTAGTCCCTGCCACATGACTAGATGCTAGCCCGCTCCATGACCTGATCCACAGCTGTGCTTCTCAGATCACTGTGCCCACGGTTGTCCACAGTGCCAGGATATGATGACACAGCACACGTTGTTTTTCCTCACATTATCACTAATTATCAAATTGAAACAGTACTGTGTTTATACAATATATATCTGTTGCAAAAGAGACAAGTCAACTCTAGGAGAGGAAAAGCTCAGTCACAGAAAAGAGGATGTAATGGGAACAGCAGATAAGAAGTTATTTTCATAGCACACATTATCACCCTGAAGTTTCTTATTACACTGACACAAATTTTGGTCCTTCTTTCATGAATAGCAGTGCTAGAGTAGAACCATTTCCCTGGAACAACATGAAGATGCTCAGTCAAGCCATGTGTGTCATCTAGCACAGTATCCTGACTCTGATGGTGGTCATCAGTAAATGTCTATGAAAGAGCACAAAAGAGGGGGAAAGAATAAAATATCAATTCCCAAAGTACATATGCTCAGCTGAAAAATCTAAAGCTGGGGATTTGAACTAAAAATAGTGTGTCTATGTATTTAATAGATCCTGATGGGTCTATTTGTGAATTTGTACAAATGGCTTTTGAATTTTTTTTCATAAAAGCTTTTGGAATCAATAACTTTTTTGATGATGATATAGTGAAAATATATCTCTACTGAAGTTATAAGCACTTAACATTCAGAACCCCTTATTTTGTAATTTGTAGCTATATGTAGCACTTCTTTTTTTAATTCTTCAACTGAAGACTGAACAGTTTTTAGCATGTACTGAGAGGAGGAATCTTTAACATCACAAAATAAGTTTTGGACTCCATGATCATGTACAGGAATGGAGGCTGAAAAGCAGAAACAAATCAGGCATTACGGTTTAAGACTTCTGAGGCATAAAATACATCTGCTGAACAGCAGCCATGCCTGAAGAGATTTTGGACATTATTCTGTAAGAATGTCTTCTTATAGAATAATGTCCAAAATCTCTTCAGTTGGGCAGAAAACAACTTTATCCAAGTTGCTATATTCCTGTTTTGAACATCTCTGAAAGATTAGGGTGTCATTTAGTAGCACTCTTGCTAAATCTTTCACTGATGGCACAGTAGCAGAATCTCTATAACTCAACATTAACATATGATCCTAATTTGAGAGACTTGTGACGTGAAATTTAGGAACCCTTCCTACTACAACTTGCACTTTTCATCAACCTGAAAAATGTTGATGCTTTTACCTAATAACATAAAAATAATACAGTCTTATATGGACCACCATATGACCTTAAAGAAACTCAAATTCACTCATTGTTTAGACAGCAGAGTCAGTTCAAGAAGTCTGAAACACATTGCAATCAATTCTCATTTTCTGACAGAACACAGGACATTTCCTTTAAAAAGAAAAATAGCATCTATTGCCTTACCTTCACCTTGACAGTGTCCCAGGACAGCAAGCAGCCTGTCTCTTTCACAGCCATTCTTACCTGACCTATTCTAGAAAACTCATAGTTCTTTCACAATCAGTAGGAAAAATGGCCTGCAAATTATTTTCCTTCATAAGAAGCCCACATCCCTAAGAGATAGGCTTTTCTAATGGCATTTCAATTTTTAAGACCTTAATTCCCCTTGTTTGTTTCTAAAAACCAGATCTATCCTCATGCTAACAAAAGGTTCCAAGCCTCGTCTATAATGCAGTGAACAAGGGTACCACTTACAGAGAATTCTGTAAACAGCGGCTCAGTAGAAATGTGAACCACATTGCACTCCCCTACTCTGTCAGCTGCCCTTGCTGCTTTGTCTCTGTACTCTTTTGGCCTGTAGGTCATTGCTTCTCTATGTGCCTGGCTGACATGCAGCTAGTACTGCTCATACAAATCAGAAACCTCAAAAATCTGCAACAGCTAAATACAAGTGCCTCTACCAGCAAATAGAATCTGTTGAGCCTTTACATTTTTGGGGCTATATGTTCTTCTCAAGCCTTTGAATCAAAATTTACAGATTGTGGGGTCTAAATATTGGTGAATTTATTTTTATGGAGAGAAAATGTTCTGGCAGAATTTCAACCAGACCTGGCACTGAGACACACTAATTTCCTCACAAATGTTTTCCTTAAGGGTTTTCCTGATTAAACTGTGATCCTAACAGATTGATATTGGCAGAGTTTAGATACACATTTGGATCTGGAGCAAGTGCACTATTACATACTTAAAAATAGAATTGAAAAAAAAAATAGCTGCACTTCTGTTGTTCAGGCCCTAGACAGTTAACATAAACTGTGCTTCTTTCTGCAATCACAGTATTTGTATTTAATTCCATCACTCTGACTAAAACATGACAGCAGTTACCTTTCTGAACAAATTCCAAAAAGCTCACATACTTCCAACTATTTTGTCCCTTGCTGTGCTGAGGATGTCTTCCCAGGCTACTACTGCTGCTTCTCTTCTCCCATATTTGGAAGTTGGCCTTCAGCATGGAGATCCCTTGTGGGTTTCTGTTTAAATTCCAGAGTCACTGTTGCACATTACCATTTCCTTCAGCTGATGTAAATCAAATACAGTATGAGTGAAAAATGTGAGTCTAGGCTTGGCTAACTGCTTTGCAAGGGGAACTATGATGAAGGCAGAAAGTTTGTCTCAGGAGGCAATGTTTCATAAGCACAGCATGCTTTGCACAGTGGGACATTGCTGAGGCTATTGCCCCTCTTTCAGCACCAGTTTGCACACACTTTAGCATTGAGTTGGCAGTACTGACACAATATGCAACAGTGGAGAACTCACATGGAAAATATTGTTGCCTGGCATCAGGGACATTTTTCTATACACAAAGCCCAAAACCAAAGCAGGAATTTAATTTCACCCCTGGCATTTCAGAGCATTTGTAGCAGACTTAATAGCCCATAATTTTTGCTTTCATCCTCCAGCAGCTTCAAGGCAACAGACCTCAAACAGCTCCTAATTTCAAAAAACATTAAATTTTTTATTAATCAACTGTTGCCTTTTGTAAGTACACTGAATACATGATATTGTATTGCATATAATGCCTTAAATAGGAATTATTTTGAAACATTTTAACAGAACTAATAGTTTATAGCCCAGCTCCTTTTAGACAGGATTTATGAACCTCTCATTCCTAACTCTCAAGACTGACATGGCAGTGTCACCTACAGTATGGGGCAAAATGCCACTAACGCTTGACACCTACTGGAAAGCAAGACACAGCACAGAGATTTTCCCCATGGATAAAAAATTCACAATTTGATATTTAATAGCTAGGAATCTAATTATAGAGGAGACGAAGAGAAAAATGATCATGTTTTCAGTAGACTGAAGAGATTCTAAAACAAATAACATGCCTTTACAACAGCTTTTTCAGGCCCAGTAATGTAGCATGAATCTATGTCATTTTGGATTCTTCCCTTTGCAGCAGGATAAAACTCTCACTACAATCCTAATGATCTTTAAAATCATGAGTGCCAGTGTTGAATACATACTATCTTTCTGTAATGCCACTGCATTTTATCTGGAACAGAGAACAAAAAGGTTCACAAAGCAATCTTACAATGAATCCTACTAAATTTTCCCCAAGTACAAGGTCCAACTACATGAAAATAACTGCAAGTTCAGGATTTGGGGGCAGGAAGAAGAAAGTATTTTTGCATTAGGTTAATTGTCTTTCTCTATTGTAATTACTTGAAGCTCCCCCGAGACACTTGAAGAGTTTCAGTCAAGATGTATAACTGAAATAAGAAACTCAAAGGTATGTAAAAAATATTTATTCTGTGGATTTATATCTCCACTGTATAAGGAGGGAGTTTATAAACTGATGCAGAAATTAAGTGCTATCTAGCATTTTCTCTTTGAAGCCTAATTTGGCCATTTAGTATTTGCCGATGTCAGTAATCTCCTGTATCTACTAATATATGGCTACAAATCTTTAGCTTGCGCACTAAATCAGATAATTATATATGCCATAAAGAATCTATGAAAATGTTAAATATCTCTAAAATTATGCAGTTAAAAACCAATCACATATATAGAAAGAGTTCATTCTTACTCCATGTAGTACTTCATTTCAGCCAGTGGCTTTTCAAGAAGCATCGCCCAATCTAAATGCTTTGACCTCGTGGTGAATTTGAACATACACAGAACTGCAGAACTCCCCAAGCCTGTTAATCCTGCAGTAGGAAAATAAATAACTTATGAGACTCCAAACCAGCAGAACACTTAAAATTTCAGACCAAACTTACACTTCCCAACAACACATGTTTTAATACCTGAGTAAGTCAAATCCAATACAAGGAACCACTAGGAAAGGAGCTGATACATACAAGCACAAAACATTAGAAATCAGGAAAAAAGGCTGCAGAGGCACCGATGAACATGCACCCCTGCTCCCAAAAAATCAAGTATTACTTAGATCATCTTGGAGACTGATTCGGATACAGAGGTCTTTGAAATGAAATTGAACATATCTACACAAAAAAATACTTAATCAAGGACTGAGTATCAAGATGTGTTCTTGCAAGGTAGATTAAAAAATGTGAGAACTTAACTGTAGGCATCTCACCTGAGATATCTGTCCTTTTCAGAGCAAAACAAAACAGGGGAAGCTTAAACTGATCAACAGAAGTAATTTAAAACAGCCTTCTGTTTTTAAGGAAGTACAGCAAGACCATACAAGAAGTTAGTTGCCACATCTCAGCTGGTATATGCAACAGCTCTGTAAACTGCTTGATAAAAAGGCTTTATTGCTGTCACAAAGCATGTTCTTGGAAAGGAATAATGGAGCAGCAAAGGCAATTTAAAGCCAAACAACATCATCGACATGAGGTTTAATAGTATTAACTTAAACACATTTGACATCTTCAGTTTATTTACTTCAATTTCTTTGTGCCTGTGTGTAGAAATGACCATAAATATTAGCCAAAATTCCTATTTGCAAAATGAATGTTTAGACTATTAAAATGGTCAGGGCTTTATTACTGTAAATAAAGCACTTGGATTGTTTACCAGGTAGTCAATTATAGTGACAAGCTCTGAGGCAGTATAGGAGTCAAGCTCCTGAAAACCACCTGCTGCTAACACCGATGTCTACTGTAGGTTAACAGTAATGTCAGCACAAGAGTAGAAAGATTTTGTTTGCATTTACTGTGGACAGACTGTATAATTTTAACTGCACATACACTATCTATCATACACGCTTTGCACGTGTCACAGTGTGCTCGGTGTTACGTGCTTGATGGGGCTGCGACACCTCCCCGAGGACCCTGAACCTCCTAAGCAGTCACTGAAGGATAGAAAAAGTGAGACAGGCCTTACTTGTAAATCCGAGGATTGTTTATTAAATCATAAGGGTGAAAACAAAAGCATCCAGAACTCAAATGTAGAACAGAGGCAAGGACCACGAACAAAGGCAGGACAATGGGTTTTAAGGGACAGGACCAGGGTGGGGTTTAGGGTAGGGAACCAATAACAAACTGACTGGTAGGAACACAAGGTGGGGGTTACAATGTTTAAACCAATAGAGAGTTACAGGGGTCGGGAACAGTTTAACTAAACCAAGGAGGCATCAAAGGAAACAAAAATGAAAGGGTAATCTCTGGAAAAGGGGTAGCTATGACAGAGGACTGACAACTGGGATTAAACTAATGCCTGGGGGGGGTGGTGGGACAAAACCAACTGTTGAAAACAGTAATATAACAGAAAACACAAAACATGCATGCATGTGGTAATATATTTTCCCCTGCAATTTTTTAGAAGTTGAAAAATGCTTTTTTGAACCTTATCCCTAGTTAGCAATTTCTAGAATAAATACACAAAAAATAGATATTTATTATAATTACCTTTCTTTTCTACATGTTCTTAAAATCATTCCTTGAATTTTGTTGTTACAATTGTTGTGATACTTACTTCACAATAAACCACTTCAGAATGTAGTGTAGGTTAAAAAACAGTTTTGGGTTCAGTGCAATTGACACAGTAACTGGGAAGATGAAAAAAATTAACTACATTTGCACTCTTGGCTTCCCAGCAGAACTAGCAAGAGACCCCTTGCAGGAGACAGGGAATTGGTAGCAGCCTTCTCAGCCCCACTGTGTCCACACAGCAACAGAACTCAGCTATAGAAGGGCAGCTGGGAACCAAGCGGTGTTGTATGATGAAACTAAGTTTGTATTCAGGAGCTGTATTCAGGACAACTGTGATGTAAATTTTCCAGTTGTAATAGGCTGCTCCCATCTAGCTCAGATAGTGACTGATGATGAGTCAGTGTATAAAAATTCTGAAGTGTTGGTGTCATTGCAGTTCCTAGAACACAGCCAGCCAAGATGCAGAATTAAACATAACCTAACCTGGTTTCATGGCAAAAGTAATCTAAAAAATGGCAAAGCACATTGACAGGCCACTGTGGTGAAGTTACACTGTCAAACACCTTAGTAATCTGCTCTTTCTTTCTCCAAGGTTGTAACTTATTAGGCATGAAATGTATTCCTCCTGTGCCAGTCACCTACACACTATCAGTAGAGTAATACCATTCTACAACAAATTCATTACAAATTTAATATTTACATTTAAGGTGGACATTACCACAGAAAGAAAAAAAACTTTTTACTTAAAATTCAATAATCCATTGTTTACCTCCTTATATTACCCAGTTAATGCTTGAGAAGAGGGAAATGCATAATGTCCACTGATCGACAGTAGGCTCCAAGTCTATAGAAGCTGATAATATGGACTCTAAACCTTAAATTTCAACATATGCTTAAATCTTCATAGGATCAAGACATTTATACAATCCAGTTTATGCAATATATGAAAATAGCATTTCTGTAAATTTCATCAGGTAGTTAATTAGTTTTTACTCAGGTAAGTTTGAAGTTGGTGCAGTAAAGGAACAAGATCAGATGATTCCAGGGAAAAGTGATTAATCACAGAGAAGTGTATTTGCCTAGAAAGTATAATTCTTCTCTGCTGTGGTACCTAATACTGAAAATAACTACTGTAAAATGGAGGCTAGTGCTTTGAGCTAATCAGACACGTTGACTTCCATAAAGTATTAATAGTAGCAAAATACCTTATAATTGCAGACAACTGCAGGTTCATGAAGCTCTTTGCAAATAGCTCAGTTCCACGGCTGCCACCACTTACAGCTGCAGTGCCATGTACCCTGAGAATGGGATGCAGAACTCTCCAAAAGACACTGTGGCAGAGGCTGCATTGCAGCTACACTTTTTGTAAGCACAGTGTCCTCCCTTTTTCCAACTAAGCCTATTGCTTCTGTATTCATGCATCTAACCTCAGTGGAATAGAGAATTTCTTTGCTTTGTTAAAAGACTTGTGAAAAAAGGAGAATTTATTTGCTCTTTTGGGTCAGAGAGACATTGTACTCCTTATGACAACAGATTTTTGTAAGCAGAAGAGTCTGCTAACATAAGGTTCTCTGTAGAACTGGGTTTAAAACTGGACTCATCTGAGTTCATATGAAATAATAAAAGACATGGAAAGAATTCCTTAACATCTAATCCTTTAATTCTAAGCACATTAACCTGAGATGCTGGTCACCACTGTCATACTAATAATAGATACTACTTCTTAATAATGCTAATAATTTGACTGTTTGGAAAGGAAAGGAGATTTTGCATGCCTTTGTTTGTTTGTATGCAATACCATATTGGAAGAGGACAAAATAAACCACATGTTTTCATCCTGGGCTTTATAAACAGAAAATATAAAATCTATCATTACTTTCTAACAACTTAACAAGTTTCTAACTCCCAATGAATTAATGATTAATGTGGAACCTGGGGAAACAACACCACAGTAAGAAACACAATGTTTTGAAGAAAATACCTGCATCAAAGCTGTTACTCATATGACATCAATGTGACAGCTGTGAATACTGCAAAGGAAAGAGAAAACTCTGTAAATTTAGTACTTCAGAAGAAAAAAAAAAAACCAACAAGCAGAAAATCAGTATTACATATATTGTTGCTAATTTCATGGAATTTTGCTGGATGTGGCTTCAAAACTTAGGCAGCCACACCAACAGCATGGAGGAAATTTCAGTGATGGACATGCAGTACAGTCACATAATGCAAAGAATAAAACTTAAATTTTGTATGGGCAAAAATGACACCAATATAAGTGAAATAATGAAACAAACTCTTAATATCAACATATCCCAAATACAAGTACAGATTTTGGTCCTGTAGGCAGGAAAAGTTCCAGGGGGCCACCAAAAATTTCCATCTGTTCTGTATTTTAATTTGCCTGTAGTAAGTGTACCTATTTGAGCTACCAGATCAGCCTGTTATAATGATCAGATAACTTTTTCCTGAAAGTCATATGCATAAACATGCATATTTCAGCCACAAGTCAGTACACACAATCATAAATCTAAAGCAATTATATTTGATCAGAGCGGTTTGCAAGTCCCACAAGTAACTAAATATGTGGGGTTTATTAAGTTTGCATACTTCTATAAAACAGAATTTACTAGATTATTAGACATGGACTAATTGCTTTTTACAATTTCCAGATCCTGCACACTGCTGTCCAGAAGGATTTTTATCTATTCTCATTATTACATACTATATAAAAGAGGTACTGCTAGACACATATATGCTAAAAATAGTACCTGCTATACAGCCAATAGCAAAAAACAAGCTACTCTTATAGTGCACAGTTTAAGTAACTTAACACTCATTACTGCTGAAAGACTGATACTGTAATTACGTTTTGCATGCCAATAGCATAATTTGATTATCTGTTACTGAGCCTACGGGTTCTTTCCAAACCACCTGGGCTTGTACAACATGGAAGTTAGTACAATGATTTCTACTACTGGAGATTCGATAAACAAACGGAGAAATATAATTTCTATCATACTAAAAAGAGAACAGTAAACAAACCAAACAAAAAAAACTTCTGAGCTAAAGGTGTGGCTAAGATATCTTAACCCAGCACAAAACCTGCTTTTCATAGCTTTTTAGGCCTACAACTTGTAACTGTCCCAGTAGCTCCAACCATCATAATGCTGGTACAAGTTGCAAAGGGATCCTTGAGCTCACACCAGCCTAACTGATGTAACTGCTCTTTCTATATGTCCCTGTGTCTTCTGGTAGGAGTGGCTGTGTTCAAACACTGCACAGAAAACACATTATTTGCTCTGGACCACTTCAGAGTGCAACCTAGTCTGACAGGGACATTGATTTATAGCTTAAAATGGCACCACAAAGATAAAAACACCTACAAACCAGCAATAACTTTCCAAATTTGAAGCTGTGCTTGTTTATCAACGAAAGTAAGAAGTGTAGAGCGTAACTGCTTCCTCACGTTTTATTTTATGACGAGTGCTGCCAGTGCCACAAGAGGCCGTGGCCGGGACATGCCGGAGAGCGGGCAGTGCTCGTACGGGCTCACCCCGAGCCGTGCTGGGACTGGCAGCCACGCTCCCACACCGGCGCTACGGGAAAGTGGGGATTTATGTTCCTCTCTGACTACGGCTTGTACTCCTTCTCCCGACACCACACCGCTCACCTAAGTGTATTTAAACAAGCTCCCGCTGTTACCACCAGTCATAGCGGCAATACCCAAGCCGAGGTTCATGCTCCCGGTACGTGCCGCCCCGCGGGGCCGCCGCCGCCTCAGCGATGTCCTGCCGCGTCCCCTCAGCCCCTGAGGGGCGGTGCGCGGGGGGCGGGAAGGCAGGGACGGTCTCCCCACCCGGAGCGGAGCGCAGGCGACAAGCGACAAGCGGCGCCCACAGCCGTCGCCACTTCTCAGTGTGGGAGGAAGCGCTTGGGGCCGCGCCCAGGGCGGGCCGCGCAGGGCCGGCTGCGGGAGAGCGCGCACCCCGCACGAAGCGGCGCGCCCCAAGCAGCGCCTGGGGACAGCGGGTCCGGCCAGGAACGCCACCTCCCCTCGGCCAGCCCCGTCCCAGCGAGGCTCAGCCCCACACGCCCGGCTAGGCAGTCACGCTCCGCCTCAGCCCAACGGAGCGAACTTGCTCCGGCAGCGGGAGTGGCGTAGGAATCCCATCGCCCTCGCCCCCCGCTATCCCGGCACCCTAGCATTAATTGTCTCCTTATATGGACACCAGAATGTCTGACGTAATCCCGACGATGGGAAACCAGCGCCCGCGCAACCAAGCTTGGTTGGGAAGGCGGGTGGTGCGGGAAAGGCGGGGGCTGGAGGGGGAAGGAGGCTCTGGAATGTTGATGGACGCGGCGTTGCGCCACTGGCAGCGGCGGCCCCGGCTCGGCCATTGGGCGAGGCGGCCAGGGGCGGGAGCCGCGGCAGGGGCGGGCTGTGGCGCTTGAAAAGCCGCCGCCTGGCTGAGGAGCGGCGCCAGTGTGGGGTGGGCGCTGCCAGCGGGTGCCAGGAGGGCAGCGAGTTCGAGTCCCGCCTCCGCCAGCCTGAGCCGGCAGCCGCTTCTCCGTGTGCCGCACTTCGCTCCAGGGCGAGGGGAGCTCGGAGTGGGCGTTTGGTTTTCTATTCTTCCTCCTGTTCCTCTTCGCGCGGAGGCCGCGGCTTTCTCTGTGGGGCGCCAGCCCGCAGGGACAGAGTTTGCCGGGAGTTTGAGCTGAGTTCGGGCCCCGGCCCCCCCACCCCGCCGCCGCCATGCCCGTCTTCCACACGCGCACCATCGAGAGCATCCTGGAGCCGGTGGCCCAGCAGATCTCCCACCTGGTCATCATGCACGAGGAGGGGGAGGTGGACGGAAAGGCCATCCCGGACCTCACCGCCCCCGTGTCGGCCGTGCAGGCCGCTGTCAGCAACCTGGTGCGGGTGAGTAGCGGCGGCTGGCCCGCCTTCTCCTGGGAGCGACTTTGGCCGCCGCGGCCAACTTGGGAGTCCGGCGGCTCCCGACCGCCCCGGGCTGTCGCGGACAGGTGTCCCGGCCCCCGCCCCGTGAGCACCGGCTGGGCGCGGTGCTGGGGCCCGGGAAAGGGTTACGTTGGAAGGCTGGCTGGACCTTTGCGGCTCCCGCCTGGAAGCCGCCTTCGTTTGTCCCCTCTCCGGCCGGCGAAGGAGCCGTGAGAGCCGTGCTGCGGAGCAGTGAGTTGTTCCAGCTGCGGGTTGCTCGCCGTCTCGGAGCGAAGAAGCCTTTGCCCACCTGAGGAGCGGCATCACGTTAAAGTGCAGTAAAGCGCGGTAGTTGCTGCTGTTCATACCCGCCCCGAAACGCTTCACAGATGGCTCTGATACGCTCTGTCGTTCTTTGCTGCCTAGGAAACTCCTATTTTAAGTGTATGCACTATAAAAGGCAAAATACTTACTTGGCGTGAGCCTATCCAAAAAAATCCCAAACTCAACCAATAACAAAGCCCAAATCTCCCAGGCATTTGGGTTTCATTTTTAAATCGGTGAGGGTTGGCCATCCTTATCAGTGCAGAAGTTGAGGCGGGACAGACCTGTGGCTTCCAGGCAAAGTCTGGAGCTGTAGATTGTTCTTGTTACATAGCCTCGAGTATGAGTTACTGTTTGCTTGTGGTAAGCTAAAGGTGACAGAAGTTTGGCCTGACTCTTTTGACTTCTTGAAAGCGGTTATGCATAGCTTGTCTCTTTTAAGATCTGAGCACTTGCAGTATGGACACTGCAGTTTGAGAAGTGCAAATGACTAATATATTTGAAATGTTTGAGTCGTATTAGCACTTTTATAATCAACAAAAGAATAACGAACTGTTGCAAGGCGGAAATATTTTATTTGATGTAGAATGCACTGTGGCATTGCCTGCTCGTCTACTGCATTAAGAATTACCTGGTAATACTTACCTTGCACCTTTGTTAAGCTTGTTTAAAAATAGTGAGTGCATTTTTGAACATCACATGTTCCTTGCTTACTTTGAATCAGTGAAATTCCGAAGTAATTCCTGGCAAGAAATACCTCTTGCCAGTAATCTTTGCCTTAAAATGAATAGCTATGCAAGTTAAAATACTGTGTCACTGTTAACCAATGTTTGAGTGCACTGAAATCATGAGACTTGTGGGCATAAGAAGCTGCTAAGATGACTAATGTATGTGATGTGTTAATCATGTTTTGGCCTGTACTACTCACTGCTGCTAGAATAACTTGCCACTTGGAGGTTTTGCAGTTTACTACAGTGTAACTAGGTCTCTTGTTCACCCTGACTATAACTATTACAGACTGTCTAGAATACTTGTGCTTCTTGCTGACTATAGCAGGCGCTCATCTTTTTATGAAGAACAATCATTGTGCAGCAATTCACTGATGTAATAGGTGTTGTGGCTGTAAGGGTGTGAAGCCTGTGTGTATGAAATACTTTTCCTTGAAAGGAAGACGTTGGAATAATGCTTTGCTTCTCTGAGCTAACCCTGTAACACTGAGTTGTGTGACTATTTTTCCTCACCCTACCTTTCTCTCAAGAGAAACTTGATCTGATAAAATTTCATTTATTAGAGAAATGCAGAAACAGATTTAGTTTCCTTCTGCAGCTTGCTAATGCTAGCTTGTCTTTAATTTTGGACTCTTTTGGAAGCCTCTGTTTTTCTCTTCTTGCCTGCTAGTTTGATAAAAGGAAATATTGTTGAATTATTTTTCTGTGTTTATTCACAAAGAGGAAATAGAAGTGTAATCTCAGGTGGTAGTTACCGGGAAGATGCCCAGATCTATTAAAATACAGCTTTGTCTATTTTATGAAAAATGCAGAATTAAAGTTCTGTTTCCTATCTGGAGCTCTGTTTTCAGTGTATCTCTCTGAAGTGTAAAGGTGATTTATGAAACAGCAGTTTCACAGGAGCAGGAGAATTTGTACAGACAGGTTCTCAAATTACAAGCCTTCTGGTGGCTTCCCAGGTGACAGCAAAGATGGAGTTATCAGTGCAGCCAAGGCAGTAATGTGGCTGCTGGCTCATTGTGTTGCTTGCTGTCTGCTCCGGGTTGTTAGTGTAGTGTGTCACAAAGTTCATAAAGGAAAGTACTGAGGAGCAGGGAGTTTTTTAGTGGTAAGTTTTCATATACAGCAGCATTACTCTCCAGCTGCCCAGCCTATAGTAAGGATTCTGCAGTTTGGAAAACGCAGTATTGAATGGATTTAACTATCATGTCTGTGTGTAATTGCTGGTAGCAGTGTTTGAAATTTTGAGACTCATTCTTGTTGAAGGCCTAAAAGATGTACTGTGAGGGGAAATGGGCTAGGAAATTACTATATGGTTATTAGGGAGGACCTCTGTGCAATAACTTGAACATTCCTGAGTTGGAGCTAGCACAATACACTATTCAAGATGGAATAGAGGTTGATAGATATGAGAGTCTTACATTAGGATTATTAGATGAGTCAAAAGGGGGTCCTCCTCCTAAATACCCTGACTAGACATCTATATAAGAGAACTTCTCCTTTGGCATGCATTTCTGTATTTTCTGTCACTAATGGTTATGCTGTATTTCAAGGTTTGCCTGAAGCCATCTTAAATTACATGGCTTATTTAGTATAAAGTTTGCATGCTCAAGTGGACCTATCCTAGAGATACTGTCTTATCAGAAGCTAATTGTAAATTGATCCTGGAGAAGAGATAGTCCAAGTCTTTGTTAAGTTAATGAAATAACTAAATCTTTTACAAGTTCGTCATTACTGTAGTAAAATACCAAAGAAAGATTTGGTATTATGTTTCCAGCAGTTTGGTATTATGTATGCAACAGTGTGCTTCTACTGCATCTTGATTTTTTTGTTGGGGAGTAGCTTTTGCACAATAATTCTCAAATTGTTCTGAAGCATTTTGATGAAATTTCTTATCTGTGAGGAGAAGTCCTTGTTGCCTGTGCAAAAGTATAATGTTGAGGTAAGCATCAGAAGCTTTTTTACACAGGAATCAACTTTGGAGCCAGGAATTTGAGGGAGCGGCTTCAGCTACAACAAGACTATGAATGTACTAAATTGGTCCTTCTTTTAACTGAAAATGTTTGTATTGGCTTATATTTGTAGTGGATGTGTGCCTCTTATGGGAAGGTTGGCACTTGGTATTTCTTTTATCTGAAAGATGTGACATTGTAAGTCAGCAGAAATGGTGCTGTTGGTGGGTGATAGTCGAGGCTGCCTCATAGGTATGGAATGATTTTGAGCTTGCTAAATATCCTATTAGTTTAGAGGAGAGTAAAATGAAATAGAGTTTTAACTAGTCAAACTTCCCAGGGAGGAAATGAACCATGTGGTGGTTCTCTAGTTGTTTTAGGCTTTTTTTTTTTCCCTAATTGTTTGGATTTCTTGGTTGGTTTAGTTGGTTTTTTTTAGCCTATTTTAAAACCAGGAATTTTAATCAAGGATGCCTGATAATGCACAAATGCTGAACCAATCACCCACATTATATATATGGTTTTATTTAATGGAGGAGAAAAAAAGATTGCTACTTGCCAGTACTGAATTTACAAGCATTTATGTTCAGACCAATGTTATAGTATTGCCAAACAGAGAAAGCAAATTCTGCTCTGATGTTGTAAGCTCCACAGTGCTTTGTATGGCTTCTGGCATTCTGTCAGTGCAGGCATAGCCCGCTCTGGTCACTTCTCTCTGCTGTTTCAGACAGACCTGCCTCAGAGCAGTGCTGCTGTTGCTCTGCCAAATGCCAACAATGGGTGAAGCTGCTGAATTTGACAGATTGGGTTGTAATTCTCTGCATGAAAATTAAGGTAGGAGAAGGGAATTGGGAAGCACACAATTTAAAATAATGGAGCAGGCTCAGCAGCTGAAGGAGGTGGTGGTTTTTCAGAGTCTGGGCTGTTGAACAAGGTCAGTGGTCTAAAAGATCTCACCTGCTCTACCTGAGACCAATTGCTTGAGACTTGCCCTGTTTTCATTTTCATAGAGCTTGGGGCATCTGAGCAAAGTGATACTCCTATGAAATGCTCATAATGGAAGATTTAAGACACTAATGGTAACTGAGATATTTTAGAACAGAGATCTGCTGTGAAAAAACAGTGCTTGTCTATTTGATGATGTAACTTCTGCCATTCCATCCTCTATGTTGTCCTTTTATATGTGAGTCTATGTCACGTGTCTATATGCATCCAATTTATATTATATAATTTTTAATGGGAAAAAATATTGCTTTACTCTCTATTAAATTGCTGATGACCACATTTCTCAAGAAGAT